CATAAGTGGAAATTAGTGGGATAACATTTTAAAACAAATTTGAGGAAGCACTTCCTGCTAGTGTAGTGGAATAGTCTTCCTGCTAGAGTATGGAATAGTCTTCCTGCTATTGTAGTGGAAGCTAAAACCATGGGTTCCTTTAAATCAGAGCTAGATAAGATTTTAACAACTCTGAGCTATTAGTTAAGTTCTCCCCAAACGAGCTTGATGGGCCGAATGGCCTCCTCTCGTTTGTAAATTTCTTATGTTCTTATGTTCTTATTTGCTATTTAGCTTTTTGTAGCATTGATAGTGTCTAATGGTTGAAGTAAAAATGCTTAAAGGTAATAAGTGTTTAATGGGCCAAAATTTAGCCAACTTTTAAGAATTTGGCTTAGTTGTTTTCGTTACAAAATTTTTTATGGTGCTGATCTTGGTGCTGTTTCTGAGTTTGTTTATCTTAAAGTAATTATAAGACAGTTGTTACTCTTGTTTGTGTCAATCTGTCTACTTTTTCTTTTGTATCATTTAATGCTATGGGGTTACGTAATAATGTTAAACATAAAGCTTTATTCCTTTTTGCCAAGCAGTTTAGATCAGATTTTGTCTTTTTACAAGAATCTCATTCTGCCCTAAATGATGTCAGTTTTTGGAGGACCCAGTGGGGTGACTCCATATGACTGTCTCATAGTACTGAATGCTCAGCTGGGGTGTCTACCTTAAAGTACAGGTTTAATGGAGATGTCCTACTCACAGAATGCGATTTAGATGGATATTTTATTTGCCAGGTAATTAAACATGGTGATTTTATTTTCATAGTGTGCAATGTTTATGGTTTTATGTACGGAAGAGGATTAGGGCCACCATGAAAATATTATTTGAATTCTGACTTTGATCTCAGAATTTTGAATTTAGAAAAAAAAGTCAGAATTCTGAGAAAAAAATCACAATTCAAATAATATTTTCATGGTGACCCTAATCCTCTTCCGTATTTATGGCCACCAGATATATTATAAATAATATCAGACTAGTTTTGGACATTTTGGATTACTCAGATTTAGTGAATGATAATGGCTTCATCTTGTTTTTAGATTATTTCAAAGTGTTTGATATTGTAGAGCATCAATTTATTTTGCAATCTTTACATTAGTTTGATTTTGGTAGTTATTTCCTTACGGCTGTAAAAACTCTTTATAAAAATGGTAATAGCTCTATTAAACTTAATCTGTTTAGAAGCATTGAGCAGGGTTGTCCTCTGTCTCCATATCTCTATCTTTTAGTGGCCCAGCTCATGGCGAACCATATTAAATCTAGCTCTGTGAAAGGTATTAACCTTTTTGGCAGAGAGTTGATCATGACACAGCTGGTATATGACACTGCTTTATTCTCTCTTTAAATTTCAATCCCGTTATACAAAAAACTCAAAGAAAATTAAACCAATGGCTCTCAAGGGATTTATCATTGAGAGGTAGAGTATTGATTACAAAAGCATATGGAATTTCTCGATTGACTTATGCAGCTTTGGCTCTACATCTTGATGGTAAGCTGTTAAAAGAAATTGATAAAAATGCTTTTCAACTTCTTGTGGAAAAATAGGATTCATTATTTAAAGAAGAGTGTTCTTATGAATGCTTATGAAAATGGGGGCCTTCATTTTCTGGATTTCTGTACTTTAAATAATACTTTTAAGATTAATTGGCTAAAGAATTTTTTTCGACAACCTACCTCCATTTGGAATGTTATACCTTCTCATATTTTATCTCAGTTAGGTGGCCTGCATTTTTTTCTTGTCTGTAACTATGATATTGATAAAATTCCTGTAAAAATGTCTGCATTTCATCGTCAGGCTTTCTTGTCTTTGTCTATCATCTACAAACAATTTTTTCTCTCCTTGTAATTACTATATATGGAATAACAAGGACATTTTGTATAAGCATAAATCTGTCTTTATGGAACAGTGGTTTGATAATAATATTGTATTGGTGGATCAGCTATTTAATAAGGATGGTCTTCTCTTCACGTATCAGGAGTTCTTATCAGAATATAAAATTGCTATACCTCCAGGGGATTATGCAAAAGTCTTTGGAGCAATACCTTCTGGTGTTAATATGCTATTTAAATCTCAGCAGAGAATTAGGGTTGCCCAATATCTGCCCTATATATCTCTGGTTCATACTCCTGTGGGTAACACATGTTTTTCCTTTTGGTTCTAGTAATAATAACACAACTGTAAGAAGTCTGTTTCAGAGAGATATTACTACTGTACCTTGTGTGATTTCATACTGGAGTCAGGTTGCAGATGATGTGACTTGGAAGAAGGTCTGGCTTCTCCCTAATAAACAGAGGCGATCCAAGGGTCTGTTGGGGCCCCAAGCAAAAATTCACTGAGGGCCCCCCCTCTAACCAGTTTTTGTCATCATTTTAATAAATAATCTGACATTAACAAAAATTTGTGAACAGTAAACTTTTTTTATTTCACAAGTTACCATTTTCAACAAGTTAATGGACTTTAAAATATGAAACCAGCTCTCGTTCGCCATCTAGTGGCTTGGGGGCCTGCCCTGCCTGCTGACAAGATGCGCCTCTGCTAATAAATACTTAATTACAAATAACATTAAGGAAATTTATTTTAAACTTATTCACAGATTCTATCCAGCTAAATGGTTTATTAAACGAAGGTTTTAAAAGGACATTGATGTTACGTGTAAGTTCTGTAATGAACACCGGGAATCTGTTGTGCATTTGTTTTGGCATTGCCCAGTTGTCACGAATTTCTGGCAAAACCTATGTATTTTTATTTCTGAACATATTGTTAAAAACTTTACTGTGGAAAAAATGTATTGTGTGGTCTCAGAGAATATGATACATTTGTACATAATTAACCTTATTATTTTGATGCCAAAATTTAATATGCATAAATGTAAATTTGCGGGTAGCAAGCCATGCTTTGCTTTTGAGAAAGAGTTCAAACAATACATTCGTTCAATTAAGTACTCTTCCAAACAAAAGGCAGTTAGGACTGTAACGGCTTGTTTTATATTAGGAATCTTTATATAAGCGATTTCCCCCTCTAGCGTTAAACTCTATATTTTATGTTTTACATTGAATTTGTTGTATATCTCCTTGATGACATTATTATTATTATTATTATTCATAATAATAATAAAAGAGTTGAGAATCACTGTTTTATTACTGATTGAGGTCATATCAAAATTCTCGCACCGGTCCTCCATGGAATAGGTTCCCCACCCCAGTCTATAATATAGGTCAATGTACGGTACATAAAAATGATTAAAAAAAAGAATTACCTGACAACATCGAGTGGCAAATTTCCTTAAACAAAATTGAGAGTGATGAAATATAAAGCAAATTGTTTATAACATACACGCTATTTATACTGTAGTTTATTAAAGTAAACATGAGATATTGTCCGCAAAGTTGGTAATGAATAAAGTTGTACCGGAAGTTCAAGGATTGACGGGAACTGGGCGATCATACAGGCGCGGAGCCGGCAAGATGTCTCAGTCTTTGGTAATGTGTCTACTAAAATTATTTTGGTCAGTCAAGTGAATGTGTTAGTTAAATAATTTGCATTTGTAACAGACCAGTGTACCCACACACACAAAAAAATGTACGCTGTGTTTGATGTAGAGTACATTTCACGTATTGATGCCGTTCACTGCAGCACTGCCGGCTGCTTTACGGAGTCCCCAGCCCACTTGCATTTGTCATTCCTCCCCATGGCTGGATAAGTGCTTTATTGTTCCGACCGGTCAGTGTAAAGCCTTGTAATGTTTTTTTGTTTGTTTGTCCTGGCAAGACTACTCGCCAGTTTAGCAGTTGCCTGGGATACACTCTGTACAAGTAGAACAGAAATGTGGGTGTTACTGACTGCTGGAAGGTTGGTTGTCTTTCAGATAGTGACTTTGTTCACTGTAAGAAATCAGTTTCAAAATTTAATAAACGCTACGCATAATACGGATAATCGGCCGAGCAAAACCCAAGAATCGAGTAAGTATAGGTGGCTGAGCTGGGCACCCTCTTCAGCTTCCGAGCTCTGGTCGTTAAGGAGACGTTCGGTTCCCACCAGGCGCACGCGATGGACGCGGAGGGCTTCGGGGAGCTGCTTCAGCAGGCACAGCAGCTCGCCGCCGAGACCGAAGCAGCGTCCGAGCTGCCACACGTTGCACGGAACCTACAGGAGATCCAGCAGGCGGGCGAGAGGCTGCGTTCGCGCACACTCACCCGCACGTCGCAGGACGCGGCGGACGTCAAGGCGTAAGTCCCGAGGCCGGAAATGCGTCACGCAGGCTTTGTTTTTCATTGTATCGCCTAGTCCTCTGCGCTTGCTTGTTTTTCATTCCAAAATAGTTAAGGAAACTTTGTTTTACTCTGTTTTTTTCTTAAGCTTCCAGTCCAGTTCCTCCAGTCAAGAACATGTAATTTTAAGTGGAGTGTCTAAACCTTGAGTATAGTTTTGTTTTTAACAATTTAGTTTTCAGTATGGTTTTTATTAGTTCTCTATTTTAAAGATTTAGTTTTTATAAATTTTAGTTTCAGTTTGAGTTGCAGTAATTTTGTTTGTGATCGTTAAAGAGCAGGGGTGGCCAATCTTATCCAGAAAGGGTCCCTGTCTGTGCTGTTAGATTAGATTACTAATTAGAACACTGAATTTGCTGGAGTTCTCACACCTGGGTTTGAACAGCTGACATAAAGGTTATCCGAAAAACCTGCATACACACCAGCCCTTTGCGGATAAGATTGGCCACCCCTCCATAGAGCTATTTTATGTGTCTGATCTTTAGAGACACAAATACACTGCACATTATTTAGTGATGCCCTCAAAATGGGCAAACATATTCCAGTATTTATTAATGGTAATTAAAGATAAACACATAATTACTATAGCTAGATGCAGTTTTAAAAAAGATGTAATGGAATGTATTTGATGTTTGGTTTTATTTGTTAGTTTCGGGAGCAATATTTATCATTTTAGTTATGTAGTTATATTTTCTAGCTTACAAAATGGAAAGCTGGTCAAAATTGCCCTGTGTGTGTGTGTGTGTGTGAGAGTGATCCCTGTGGTAGAATGGCATGGCAGGGTCAGATCTGATCCTTTCCACCCTCTCTTTCCTCAGCTCAATCCTTCTGGGTTCCCGAGGCCTGGACATCTTCCATATCTCCCAGAGGTTGGAGAGTCTGAGTGCAGCCACCACATTTGAGCCGTTGGAGCCTGTCAAGGACACAGATATCCAGGTGTGATTACTGCAATGTGTAGCTTTATGCTGTTACCTGTAGAAGCAGCTAAAACTCCTAATTTGATGATGTTGTGTGAAACAGAATAGTTGAAAGTGTCTCTGTAGTAGTTGCCGAAAAGTAATTTTCTCAATGTAATGTATTCGGTATCTGAGGCAGGAGAGGACTGATTTGACAGGTTTTCACTGTGGCTCTGCAGTAATTATGTTAATCTAGTTTAAAAAGTAATGGTTTGTGGTGGAATGGTATGGTGAACATATGATTTTGGTGTGCTCACTGAGACGGCTACCTCAGTTTTTCCTCAGTTGCTGTCATCTCCATTCATATGTATCTATGCTACCAGGACCTGGTAGAGAGTAAAAATGGGAACTGTCTGAGGACCGGCTTGGGAAACACTGGGCTAATGAACACTTTCCACGTTTGCAGAAACATCCATACTTATGTGGGGAGGGGGAGGGTTGTGCTTGTGCATGTTTGACAGCTGTACTTACCTTGTAATCTTTAATGTGGTGTGTACTTAAGTGAGTTAGCGATCTGTGCAAATTCTGTAGTAATTGAATCGAGGCCCTTAACCTCCGCTGCTCCATGGTCCTTTCACTAGTAGCCTGAGGTGTATCGTTCAGGTCCAGAAAGAAAAAAAATTCAAACCAAGATTCTGTTTCAAAAAAGCAGTTCAGTACTCTGTGGCTGTGACTCTTTATACTCAGCTGGCTGGTTGAAACAGAATCTTGGTCTGGATTTTTACTTTCTGGACTTAAACAATCCACCTCTGCAAATAGCTTTCGTAACATGCAAGCAATTCCATACAACACTTATGTATTTTAATGTAGGAAAAAACAACCTGCTGACCTGATTAATTCCCATATCTTTTCTTGTGGGTGAGGTCTTCTCATATATATTGACATATATATTCTTATATTCTTGACATATATGTTTATCTACCTATTTGAATATTTCTTTAGTTGAGCTCCATTTAGCTGGAAATGCAAACTTTAGTTCCAACATTCGCCATTAAATTTTATGCTTTCATTGTGGAAGCATAATTTCCCCGTTTTCACATGTCAGGAATGTGGCACAATTTTGTATTTCTTTTGCGTCGTAAACTTTGTGGGGACTCTGACTCTGTTTTTGAAGTAATTTGGTTCCCTCCCAAGATGGTATTTAGTAAAAGTGAGAGTCAGCTTTTGTGCTTTGTGGTCACCAGGGGGGTGCATTGAACATACTCTTCAGGGTGTAGTACATTTGGTTTAACAAACAGGAAAATGCTTGTCTGAGGATAAATGCTGGTGAATGTAAGAGTATACAGTACTATGAAATACCAGTGGTACTATACGGGAGGTTTATGTTTCATTCATACATATAATCGTATTCACGTTTCAACGAAAAAAGGTTGCATAAAATTGAGCCCAAACAAACAGGCCTAATAGTTTGTAGTAGTCATTTATTTAGTCATTTCTGCTGGAGCTGTGTTAAAAAGCAATCACAGTCATAGTTAATGGTCAAGCCACTATTTGCAGCAGTAACTGCAGCCAAATGCTTGTCTTTGTTGTATTGTGAATAGCTCATGTCCAATCCTTTTGACTCTAGGGATTCCTGAAAAATGAGCGGGACAACGCCCTGCTTTCGGCCATTGAGGAGTCACGCCGCAGGGTGGGTTGGTGGCCTGGATCTTATCCTTCCCTTTGCCCGGTCTTCACCTTTGACTGTGGCTCTTTCCTCTTCTCAGACTCCATCTTCTGATGTGTTCCAGAGGGGCTACATATGTAGGCTTGCGTTAATATCAGCCCGCTTTTTGACTGCATACTGCCCCGGCCTTGATACAACCACACAACTAAAGAAAATGAAAATGACCAAAGCACGGGCCTCTGGATGTGTCTCCTGTAGACGTTCCTGCTGGCTGAGGAGTACCACAGAGAGTCTATGCTGGTGCAGTGGGAGCAGGTGAAGCAGAGGGTGCTCCTCACGCTGCTGGGGGCTGGAGAGGATGGACTGGACTTCAGCCAGGATCTGGAGGTGTGTGCATGTGTGGTCTGGCACAAGATTAGGCAATATAAGCATTTGTTTTGTGGGGCCAATCCTACGACCTCTGGGTTTATACCTAGAACAGGGGGGTGTTTTCCATACGTTGCTTAAATCACCCGAGATCAGATGCCTCATCTTGGATGACTTAATGCCGGTGAAACTTATCTGGGATATGTCGGTTTTTCAAACGCAGCTGTGTAGTAGATTAGTCTGGCTGGATCCATTCATCTGAGATGATTGCCCGTGCTGCTTGAAAAGCCCATATATATTGAGTCTAGAAAACATGATCAGCAAGTCTTTGATAGGCTGCAACAAAATGACGAAAGAAAAGGCGCACCTTTTCACACGAGAGGAGCAGGATCTCGTATTAGAAGGATATGAAGAATTTCAAGAGCTAATATGCACAAGGGGTAACACGGCAAAAGCAGCCCAAACCAGAAAAGGCAGTTGACAAAAAGTAGCCAACAAATTAAACATGGAAGTAGTTATTGTACTTACTGAATGCAGCGTTTCTTTTCCTATGTGTCAGATTAATTATTATTTAATACAGTAAAATCCAGTTATAACAGACTTCAAGGGACCTGGCAAAACAGTCCATTATATCCAGAGTTGTGTTGTATGCCCAGAACGCAACTACTGGACACCATTTACTCGTGCCACACCCCAGCAGACACACTTGTGGTATAGATAAATATATATGGTACATGTAGTAATCCAACTTTACCTGACCAGATGTGTGACTATAATAATCCCGACTACGTATCTGCGCTGGATATCACCGGCACGCCACACGCCATGTAGGCGGAGCTGTATGTCCGTTATAGCCGAACAAAACTACAGCTAAAAGCGGCCCTGGGGACCAAATTCCATTATTTGCGAGTCCACTATAACAGGATTGTACTTTGTCATAATTCCAGATCAAACATAAGCACAATGAGAACATGGGAACAGGTAAAAGTGAAGTGCAAGAATATACATTGGTACCTCAGAACTCGAACTTAATCTGTTCAGAACTCCGGATCGAATCCTAAAAAGTTCGAGTTGTGATCGAATTTTCCCCATAAGAAATAATGGAAAACCAATTAATTGTTTCCCGGCCCCAAAAAACACCTAAATGTTTTTTTTTCTTTTTTTAGCATTTAAACACAAAATGAACAGGATAAAACAAGAGCATATACTAAACACATCTAAGCACATTTATCAAGACAGTATTTTGTAAAGTAAGAAAATAAATGCTGTGTGTAACATTTTTTTCTTAATGGCTGCAAAAAAGATAAAGAATGTACCCCAACACTACCCCTGTCGTGCCCCGATTGTCCGCTCCTTCCGTGTGCCACGCCCCCTCGTTAACCTCGTTTGGAATCCCTGTGTGATCAGCTTTTTCTGGTTGTTCTCATTAGTCCTCTGTATTTAGTCCGCGTTTCAGTTTGTTTCCCCAGTCCGGTCATTGGAATGTCATTGTGTTGTTCTGCCTGTTCTCAATTAAACCCCGGGTTTCCCGATCGCTTGAGTCCTGTAGATCCCTGCTTCCCCAGTCCTGGCTTGACAGATTGTGACTACCCAAAGCCATGCCCCAACACTGCGCCTACACTAGACTATACCATGCGGTCCAACTATTGCATAACGTTTTGGTGAGCAATGGCTACCAAAATTATATAAAGTACAGAGTATTATCTGATACAGTATTTTCAATAAAAAAGCACCAACAAATGATGCTATCACAGCGAATGCGAAGCTGAGACTGAAGTGTTGAGACGTGCCGCATGACCCGTTAATTTTGACAGCCCTATATATATATATATATATATAATGTAAACATACACACACACTTGTGTATATATACTTTGTCTAGTTTGACTTTCAATATAAGGTGCTAATAAATCTTTGAGGTACAATATTCCCCCTCGGCTAAAGCGGTATCTTTCGAAGAGAATTTCCACCATGAGCAATGAAGGATCTTGCCGATCGCGCGAAACCATTTCTATATGAAATTCTCTTATAATTTGTGCACCGGCAACACATCCAACAAGAGTTTAGAAAAACTGACCGATCCAGGATCATGCCAAATCGTCAACAATTAAATCTGGCTAAACTAGTAATCCACATACAAAAAATACCCCCCAGGAATGGTCAATCTTATTCAGAAAGTTGTGTATGCGGGTTTTCACTGCAACTCCCTAATTGGTATGAATTACAGGACTGATTGGCTGAAGAGTTCCCACACCTGGGTTTGAACATCTGACGTAAAGGTTATCCCAAAAACCTGCACACACACCGGCCCGTTTTGGATAAGATTGGCCATCTGTGATCTAGAATATACAACATGTACCCAGTATATCTGTTGTGTTAGTCCTGTATTCCTCGTTGGTGCTTCCCTGTGTTCTGTGTGCCGGTTCTCCATTTGGATCTCTCTGCTTTTGGATCTCCAGCCTCACGTTCTCTGTTATGTCACAGCCCAGCTTTGTGAGTGATGTCGGAGCCCCTGGCCGCAGCGCACTGGACAGCGTGGAGGTGGCCTATGGACGACAGGTCAGCGGCCCGTTTGAAGGCTTTCTCTTAATGTGACCCGTTTCATCCTTCAACTGTATTTGTTCATCAGCTGATGCCCGCAGTTAATGTTGCATTGTACACCCATTGAAAAACTGGTCATACTCTAATGCTGAAAGATCAATACCACATCCATTTATTTATTTATTTTTAGTTCACTGATTTACCATGGCAGATACACTGATTTATTTGTGATTTTTCTACACAAGACAACCATTTTTTGAGTGGTGTAAGACACCCCCATCAAAGGACAGTTTTGCCACTTTCACCCATGCACTTACATTCTGTGACCATGACCTTGTCTGGTTCCTGTCACATGGTTGGGATTGAACTGTGTTACATAGCACAGGACACTGATCGATCTAAAGGGATGGGATTGGCTCTGCACGGCCAACTCTGAACTGTGTCCGCACCACATTGCTGCTGTCAAATGCAGGAATGATCATGTGTCGTCACGTCGCGTGTGGTGTCCTCGTCCTGATCTTTCTGCTTTTCTCAGAAGACTTCTTGAACGCGTTTGTTCTCCTTGTGCTGTTTTTCATCTTCCGTCACCTACTGTCATTCCTGTAGCTCCTCTACCCCAAGGCAGAGTGGGTCAATCGGTACCCTCCTCACCCTCAGCCCTGTTCTCTCCATAGATTTATGTGTTCAACGAGAAGCTGGTAAGCGGACAGTTGCAGCCCAACCTTGGAGACCTCTGTGCTTCTGTGGCCCAAGGTCTCGATGACAAGGTAAGCCTTCGTGTCTGTTTCGGATCTGGGACCAGAACTGTAGATATTTGTTTGCTTTAGTAAATGTCTCTTGCTTTACGTGAATGTTGGTGGTAAATAAACACCAGCTAATCAGAAATACCAGGCATTTATATCTAAATAGTCACATCAAGAGCCATGTAGGCAAAGTACTAAATAAGTATGTTTATGTGGATGGGAAATGGTTTATCCTTTTTCTCTGCCTGTTATGGTGCATGTGTGTGCAGAACGTGTCCGACATGTGGCTGATGGTGAAGCAGATTACAGACGTTCTTCTGGTACCTGCCAGAGACACACTGAAGAGCCGCCTAGCTGTGGACATGCAAGTGGCATTTACACGGCAGGCTCTCAACTTCCTGGAAAACAGGTGGGAGGGGAGGTCGACTGAGTAAGGGGGAGATTGGAGTAACTGATTTGCCTGCTTTGCCTTCATGAAAGCCATGTGCGAATATGCCCACCTAGATGGGGAAAATTCGATCACTTACGGGTGTTGGTGCACAGATTAGCGTGGTGCACATTCTGTCTATACTGAGGGCTTGTGACAGATGAGCAACCAGTTGCAGGAGCACTGCAGTTGTACTGCAAATGAGTGCTTTTGCCCTTTGTAACAGTCCAGTTCATACTTTCAGTGTCTAAGTGCAGACTTCTGCATGCATATTACATTTGTCCATATAAACTGATAGTTGCAGTCAGCACATGCATACAGCAGTGATACTGCACCAGACCAGCACAGGGCAGATGTCTTCTTGGTCTGGATGGAGCCTATGCATGAATTTGTACACCAGAATATGTCCTTTTGCTTCTTTAATTTATGGGTACCTCTGTTCCTCCTCACACAGCTGCATATCAGACAGCCATAACTACTTCTACTATTTCGTCTTTAACCTCTGCTCAGTGCTGCCACCTACCTTTATTTATATATATATATAAAAAAAATATCTCAGTATGAGAACCAGCTTAACTTCAACATAGCCGACTCTAATACTGAGGTGATCCTGAAGTGCCTGATTATCTGTATATATAGGGTTATCTGTATATATAGGGTTATCTGTATATATAGGGTTATCTGTATATATAGGGTTATCTGTATATATAGGGTTATCTGTATATATAGGGTTATC